TGGGGCCTGGCACTTACCCCCGCCACTGACCACATGTGTCTGGAATGTGCAGATGTTTCCTTGGGGGCTCCGGCTGGTCCCCAGACCTCACCCAGCATCTGGACTGGGGAACTCTAGACTGGGGAGCAGGCACCCAGGCCACTCCCCTCCTTGGCAGAGGGAGAAACTTAGGCAGTTCTGGGCTGCTTCCTGGCTTGTCCGGGGGCTTTGTTTTCTTAGCTCTAAAAGGGACTTCCCTTGGAGCCATCCAGGGAACACTCCAGACCTGCTGTCACTTGAAGCCCCTTTCCATCTCTTCCTGCTGGGGCCTTGGGACTCCTTCCCTTCCCTTTCTTCTCCCCTCTCTCCCTTCCCTCCCCCGCCTCCCCTGCCTCCTGCAAGGCCTCGGATGTGAGCAGGGGCAGAGTCCTGTATGGGGAGGGCGGGGGGGAGCTGCCTTTGTGCGTCGCATGGGGGGCCCTCAGAACCTTCTGTTGGATACCTCCAGCATGGCGGTGGAAGCAGGGATCTCTCCCTGCCTTCCCACACCCTACTCTAGCTCTTGCTTGGAACAGGAAAGACCAGAGCCAGAGGCACAGAGATGTGCCGTTGGGTACCCAAACCCTGAAGACAAGGATGCAAGCCTAGTGAAGGCTAGTGGCCCGCCCCTTGAGAACGTCTGACCTGGAAGGCAGGGGGAGTTGGGACCACCCCTGTGTGGGGGCCGGCTGGGCTCCTCAGTGATTGATGGGGCACTGATGGGGAGGAGAAGGAGGGCCAGGTGTGTAGGGTAGACCAGGAATCTTCCCTTCTCCTCCAACATGCTTGCCTTTCTTGGAGTAGAAGAGGGGACAGCCAAAGGGATGGGCTGGAAGTGAGAGTCCCATCTCTATGGGGTTTATGTTCAGTGCTGCAGGCAGTGGGGACCCCTCCCAGCCCTATCCCTGGTGCCTAGGGAGGCGATACATGTCCTGTGCTCTCATAGATATGTGCCTGTTCCCAGGTCACCTCTTCCTCCAACTAACTGTCCTGATCTCTCCAGCTACGGCATCCCTGGAGGTTGCTGGCTTGGGGTTTATAGGGATCTGGGAGGGTCCAGCTGGCTTAGAGGGTGGGCCCTGCTTGGCCTAGGCCCTCTCAGGGTGCTGTCCAGCCAGGCTGCTGGCTCTTCCCCCATGGGGCTGGCCACTGCCCTGCTTGACCAGCCTCTGCTGCTTCTGCCCACTGTGTGAGCAGGCTCCTTGGGCCTGCTGTGTCTTGTCAGCCCTGCCCCCACCATGTCGTTCTCCCGGCAACTTTTACAGGACTGTGGGGGAACTGTGTGGGGGCAGGGAGTCAGACTTCAATGACATCACCTGGGGGTGCAGAGGAAGCCTAAGGGCTGGAGAGGGGATGGGGCTGGCCCGTGGCCTTGGTGTTCTCCCATAACAGCGATGGCAAAAACAGATGGAGATGTGGAAAGTGGCTGTTCAGGGCCTCAAGGCTGTGGGGCCGGGTGAGGACTCTACCCATGTCCCCTTCCAGTGATTCTCCCCAAGTGACCCTCCCCTATGACCCCTCCAGGGACCCCCAGTCCAGTATCCTCTCTGCTGCTATTCTTCCCACTGTATGCTGAGTGTAGAGATGGGCGGCGCTGCCCACTGTGCACCCTAGAAGAAAGCATGTGCCCGCTCCGTGGCTCCCAGCCTCACTGTTTAAAAAAATTTATAGGTTTGAGAGAGAGAGAGAGAGAGAGAGAAGGAAACATCTGTTTTTTGTTCCACTTATTTATGCATTCATTGGTTGCTTCTTGTATGCGTCCTGACCGGAGATCAAACCCACAACTTTGGCATATCAGGATGACACTCTAACCAACTGACCTACCCAGCCAGGGCCCGGACCCACTTCTAAACCAGTGTCTGGGCTTACCTGATGCCAGCTGCCAGACCCACGCGAGAGCAGACAGGGAAACTAGGCTCAGGTCGGGAGAGCAGAGGTGACCTGTCTCCTGGCCCACAGAGACTGCCACTCCTGAAGTTCACACTCCGGGCATGGATTCCTGTCCTACAGCCCTTGGGGGAAGCAGACTGGCATGTGCAAGCATACACCCCCCGTTTCCAGAGGGGGAACCTCAAGTCTCGGTGAGAGCAGTGTGGCACCTAGCTCAGCTGAGCCAGGGCAGGGATCTGACCCTGAGCCCACAGTGCCAGCTCTTGGAGTGGAGGAGGACTCGCTGCCCTAAACTCCTTGGCTGGAGTGGCTCCTGACCACCCTTGCCCACCCCCTTGCCATCTGCTCCCCTCTGACGCCCTGTCTCCTGGCCCTGTGTCCTCCCTCAGCCCCTGCTCCAGGCCCCCTTGGGCAGCCTGTCTGTCTCCTCTGCACTGAAGCCCCCACACCCCGTTTCTCCTACTTCAAGAGAATGAGAATGTGGAAAATCTAGGGTACCTGTCTGCTCTTCAGAATGGGCTTGTTTCTTTGCACCTCCTTCCAGCACTTTCTTTCTTTTCTTTTTTTTTTTTAAATTTAATCTTTATTGTATTTTTTTTTCCACCAGCGCTTTCTTTAGTTCTCAGTTTGAACAGTTGCAGGGAGAGGGGGCTGCCTTTCACACCTGCGTTTCTCCTGTCGCTGTGCGCTGCGAGGGGGTGTCAAGCCACACCAGCCGATGGGCTTAGGGCTCTCAAACCATAAATCATGTCTCGTGTCATAGGTGAGGGGGAAAGAATGTCTGTGCCTCTCCATATGTGTGGCCACACTGGTTCCCAAAGCAGCCAGGCTCTCACAGTGGTGGCGGCATGACAGCTGGTACCTGTGTTGCCATTTGACCTTCTTGCTGGGAGGAGAGCCTTGCCAAATTAGGTGTCCAGGCGTGCTGCCACTTGGTCAGAGCAGTGGTAGGGCTGCGATGGGTCCTCTGGCAGACGCCCCGTCCCTGTCTGGTCCCAGCAGGGACTCTGACCCAGCAGCGCCTCCCTTGCCCTATAGGACCCCAGTCCTGTCCTGCAGAGGTTCCACTGCCCGGAGGACCTGCCTTCTCTTCTGCCAGCCTGGCCCATCTGTCCATGTGTGAGGTTCCTCTCACAGCTTTTTTTGTGGAGCCTCTGATTCACTGGAGGACCATGGTCTTCCTCACCTGCTGCCTGTACCCTCCTACTGAGGCCTCCCATGGCCTGGCCCCCCACCACCCGCAGGCTGAGACAGCATCAGCTGAGCTTTTCATGTCCTTGTGCCATCTCCTCATGGAGTCCCTGGGTGGCTACTGCACTTTACAGAGAGCAAGAGAGGCCAGGTTCCCAGAGCTAGCTGCTGGAATCCCTATTCCACCTCCCCACACTCCATTAGTGGAAGCCACAGGGGGACAGGAACCCCCCTGGGCCTGGCTCCCTACCTTAGCCATTCAAAGGCCAGCGGTGCCCCTCCAAAAGCGCCCTAGGTAGCCCCCTGCCTATGTTGTGAGCTAGGATAGCAGGAACAGCCTAGATAAGACCCAGCCCCCAGCCCCTGTCCTTGGTAAGTAGCCAGTATTCAAGTGTTGGTTGCCTTGAAGCACCATGTGGCCAGTAGGTCTTCAGGGAGGAGCAGTGGTCAGTGGTTGGGGTGGGGGACATTTCCTGAGCCTGGTTCCAGAGGTGGTCCTTGTCATTGTGAGCTGGGCAGAGGGACTGTGCCAGGTATCCGGCCTGCCAAGCCGTGGGACCCTTTCTCCCCCTCACTTTTGTGTGCCTGGACTGGCACTCAGTGCCTCGGCTCCCAGGAAGACCTTGTTTCACGCCAACCATCCTTGCTAAGCCCCTGCTGTGTGCGGAGCAGGCTGGAGAGAGCAGGGCCCATCCCAGAGGGTGGCTGACAGAAGCTAGGCTTCAGGACACCGCCCCCCCCCTCCCCGGGCCGCCATGGGACCTTAGATAGGAGGGGTCATGGAAGCAGGGCAGGTGCCAGGATGGGGGTTTAGACCAGGCTATAGCTGGAGTAGGATGGGGAAGGCTGAGTATTTTAGGGACTGGGTTGGCAGGCCTGGAGGCGGCATTGGTGGACATCCATGTCTCTGCATGACTAGATGGTCTGGTCACTGGTGGGAAGCCAGGGCTGGCGAGAGGCATTTCGAGACATCAGAGGGCAGAGGCTGAGGGGTGGGAGGCCTAGGCCTCATTCATTTGGAGTCTGTGGCTGGAGGTGTCCACTGAGTCTGGGTGGTCCACAGGTCCCCGACTCAGGAGGTGGGTAGGCAGGGGTGACTGTGACCTCTGCCTGTGAGCTGGGAGGGAAAGTGGGATTATTGGCTAAAGAACATGTCCTTGTTGTGTCAGTCTTGACTTTCTTTGCACAGATTCTTTTGGGACCACAGTCTGTTTGAGGAGGTTCTCTTGCTTTCATCCCTCAGTTTGTCCACTCCTACACATGTAGCACAGTCTCACATAGTGTCAGTCCATGTTACAACTTTTCTTGACAGTTCTTGCCCAATTATGCTTCTCACTGAGCCTGTGTGTTATCTTGTTGACCGAGTGGGGTTTTTATTGAGGACGTGTTAACCTCGAGGTTGAATATGGGTTGTTGCCATCACTATGGTCCTTTGCCACCACTAGGGCCCCTCCCTGTTCATCTGGTCTTTGTGCCCCACTATATCTCAGGGACATTCAGAGGCCTCTCCGGCTGGCAGCAGCTGGGCCTCTGGCCCTGGAGACCCCTGGACTGCCCTGGTGTGTTCTAAACCCTGGTGGAGGGGGGATGAAGTCTGCCCTTTGGGGTGTGGGATGGCCTTGCTGGGCCAGGGGGCAGGGGACTGGGCAGGGCCTAGGATCTACAGGGAGGGAAATGGGGCAGGGCATGGTGCGGTGCTGAGGGGCCCCAGCCCTCTCCTGCCTTGGTTTTTCCGGATGAGAGTTCATTCTGATTATCTCTTCTGGCCATGGGAACAGGGAGCTCAGAGGGTGAGAGGCCACAGCTTGGGGGTACTAGGGAGCTTCCAGGGATGGGCTTGGGGTTGGCTTTGCGCCTTACCTAGGAATCCATTGTTGACTTGTGGCCTCTTTGTTCCCCAGAGACATCTCCCACAACCTGCTCCGGGTGCTAGATGTCAGGCTCCTGGCAAATCTCTCAGCGCTGACAGAGTTGTGAGTGTCCCCTTTGGCTTGGCTGTGGGATTCCACAGGGTGGGCAGGCGGCGGCAGCTTGTCACCATTGTGGTTATGGAGACATCCCTCAAACACTGCTGAATCCCCCCTTTCTCTCAGGGATATAAGCAACAACAAGATTTCTACATTAGAAGAAGGAACATTTGCTAATTTATTTAATTTAAGTGAAATGTAAGTTGCACTGTTTTTGATGGGTTTCAGTGGCTGGGCCCATGGTCTCCCAACAACACCCTGCCCTCCTGACCTGGCCTTCATGCCTGCTTCCCAGTTTGAGACCAGACCCTGAAGGCTTTCCCAGGGGTAGTGGGAGGCTGTACTTGTCGGGGGGCCCTGACCTCCCTGGAGCAAGGAGGGCCCAGACCCTTCCTCAAGGCCAGGCCTGGTTGCCTACACCTGCCCCACTGCACACTGAGCACTTGGCCCTGCCCCTCCTACAGAAACCTGAGTGGGAACCCGTTGGAGTGTGACTGTGGTCTAGCTTGGCTGCCACGCTGGGCAGAGGAGCAGCAGGTTCGTGTAGTGCAGCCAGAAGCGGCCACTTGTGCGGGGCCTGGCCCCCTGGCTGGCCTACCCCTCCTCCAAGTCCCTATGTCTGACAGCGGCTGTGGTGAGTGTGGGTGGGGCAGGGCCCGCTTGGTCCTTCCCTGCGGGGCAGCCCTGCCAAACAGGGACCCCAAAGGTGCTCAGGGATCGTGAGCCTGGTGGGAGCAGTAGATGGGGACCTGGGGAAAAGGGCCGAGACAGACTGACTGGGTCAGGAAGGCCCTTTGGACCAGGGAGTCAGTGCCGGCGGGATGGCGGAAGACCAGCCGTGGGTCCGGGTGGGGTGATCTGGGATCTGGAACGGGGGCCGAGAGGCAGCCATATGCCCTTTCCAGGTGAGAAGTACGTCGCCTGCCTCCCTGACAACAGCTCAGGTGCTGTGGTGCTGGTGGCCTTCTCAGCTGCCCGTGAAGGTCCGCTGGCGCCCGAGGCCTGCAGTGCCTTCTGCTTCTCAACCGGCCAGGACCTCGCGGCTCTCTCAGAGCAGGGTCACTGCCTGTGCGGAGCTGCCCATTCCCCCAACATCTCCTCTGCCTGCCTACCCTTCTGTTCCAGCCCTCCGCTACCCCCTGCCCCTGTCTGCGGGGGCCCCACCCTCCTCCAGAATGTTTTCCCTGCCTCCCCAGGGGCTTCCCTGGTGGGACCCCAAAGACCCCTGGCCTCTGGCCAGCCAGCAGCCTTCCATGTCACTGCCTTGCTGCCCATCAGCTCCACACACTGGGACTTCGGCGACAGCTCCCCCGAGGCGGACATTGCTGGTTCTGCCAGCACTCACCACTATCTGCTGCCTGGGCGCTATCACGTGACAGCAGTGCTGTCCCTGGGGGTTGGTTCAGTCCGGCTGGAAACAGAGGTGCAGGTGGAGGCGGCCCCTGCTGCCCTGGAGCTCATGTGTCCAGTCTCAGTGCACAGTGATGAGACCCTCGAGCTTGGCATCCGAAATCTTGGTGGCTCAGGCCTTGAGGCCACCTATAGTATTGTGGCCCTGGGTGAGGAGCCAGCCCAAGGTGAGTGCCTCCCTGGGCCCAGGTCACTATTCCTGTTCCTGCCCCCAGGGTCGGGGCGGGTGGGACAGAGTCCCAGGTGGGCACATATTAATGGCCTGTCTTTCTCCCTGCCTGCCACCAGTGGTGCATCCGCTATGCCCCTCCGACACCGAGATCTTCCCTGAGAATGGGCACTGCTACCGCCTGGTAGCGGAGAAGGCGCCCTGGGTTCAGGCGCAGGAGCAGTGCCGGGCCTGGGCTGGGGCTGCCCTGGCCATGGTGGACAGTCCCGCTGTCCAGCACTTCCTAGTTTCCCGGGTCACCAGGTGCCTGCCCCCACCCCTGAGAGGCTGGGAGGGTGGGGGGAGGGGCAGACCCTGCGAGTGTGGGTAGAGCCTGAGGCAGTCAAGGGGAGGGGTGGGAGTGGCTGGCGAGGCCCTAGCTGGCTGGCAATGGGGGAAGGGACGGGGGACGGAGGCCAGATCCTTACCTCCTGGGTCCCTGTGTGGGAAGAGCCCAGTTGGACTGTGAAGTCACACCCCAGACATCCTCAGTGTGCAGAAGGGGAATTGAGGCCCAAAGTGGTCAAGGCTCTTGCCCACTGTCACCCAGTTAACGTGCTTGACCCCAGTGCCTAGCTCTGACTACAGAACCTCATTTCCCTCTCTCCACCTGTCCCTGTCCTTCTGCCTGTCCCTGTGTCTGTCTCACGCTATGTCCATCCCTGCCCACATATCTATAATCCCTTTTTCTAATAGGGTCTTCCTACCTTGGCAGAGCTGTGGGGAATAGCCCTTTGGGGACTGAACTGTGGGTGTCTTGGTCCCCGAATGCCGTACCCTGGGCCTCCCCGCAGGATGCAGTGCAGGCCTGACTGAAGCGGAGCTCCCTTGGCTGGGCTCCTAGCCCGATGGCATGGGTGGCTGGATGAGCACTACTGTGGGCCTTGCTCTCCAGGTCATATCTCTAAGCCTTAGTTTCCTCATCTGGAAAGCAGGAGCAGGGTCCACCTGAGGGGCTACTGTGAGAAACCTGCCCCCAGAGAGGGGATGAACGGAGGGGTACTTTTCTTTGGGGAGCCCCCTGGGTCCTCACTCTCCCCATCTGCAGGAGCCTGGATGTATGGATCGGCTTCTCGGCTGTGGAGAGCACTGAGGCGGGCCCATTGCCTCGGGGTGAGGCCTTTAGCCTGGAGAGCTGCCAGAACTGGCTGCCTGGGGAGCCACATCCCGCCACGGCAGAGCGCTGTGTGCGGCTTGGGCCTGCTGGGCAGTGCAACACGGACCTGTGCTCGGCACCACACAGCTACGTCTGTGAGCTGCGTCCTGGAGGTGTGCTGGGGCAGCTGGGGGGCTGGGGAGTGCCGTCTGCCCTGAACCGGGGCAGCTACCCCCAAAACAGTCTCCTGGCCACTCCAGAGCTCCCCCTACCCTTGGCCAGGACAGTGCTCCCTCCTCCTCCCCTCAGGCTCCTTTCTTAGCTGGTCAGTGTTTAGGTGTTTGCTGAGCACCTACTGTCCTCCTGGGGTGGGCCTGCACTGAAGGAAATAGACAAAGATGGAAGCGGGGGCTTCCACCAAGTGGCTCAGTCCTGCCCTGGCCCCTGACGCTCTCCTCTTTGGCCTGAGACCAGAACCTCATTGCACATTTGCCACCCCAGGCCCTGTGTGGGATGCGGAGAACTTCCTTGTGGGGGCATCCAGCAGAGACCTGCAGCGGCCCCTGAGTCCCCTGGCACAGCAGGAGACCCTCTCGGCCCCCCGGGAGCCCGTCGAGGTAGGCCAGCCAAGATCTAGCTCCCTGACATAGTCTGGAAGTCACCCTTACTCTGGCTGCTGTGTGTCTCTTTGAAAAACAAGCTGCCTTCCCTGCCCCCCACCCCCCGGGCCTTTTTAATGTCCTGTGTGCCCAGTAAAGATGTTTTGGAAAACCTGCTGTTGTGCAGGGAGGCAAAGTCTCTGTCCTGGTATCTGGGAACGCTCTGATCTCCTGAAGGAGCCTTTTCTCTCTGGATTTTTAGAAAAAAACAAGGTCCTACTGCTCACAGATGGTTTCCACCTGAGTTTTCCTCCCTAGTGAAACATTTGTGTTAAAGCCCCATCTGTGGTGGCTCCTTACCCTCTTGGCCGGTGCGGGTGGAGATCCAGGATCTGTGGAGCCGTTCGTACCAACACCAGCACCACGCCCCTGTCTTCGTCCCCCCTCCCACCTCATCAGGTGATAGCGTTCCCTGGCCTGGGCCTGGGCCATGAAGCCTTCCTCACCACCGCAGAGTTTGGAACCCAGGAGCTTGGCCAACCCGCCCAGATGAGGCTACAGGTGTACCGACCTGTCGAGGGAGCAGGTGGGACCCTGTCCTGGTGATAGGAGTTGGAGGGCTTGGGTAGCCTCTCTGTGCTGTCATGTCTGTTTGTCCCTTGGCCCCTAGGCTGGTCACCAGCCTGAAGATGGACAGAGTGGGGTCCACAGAGACACTGACTCATGCTTGGGATCCCAAGGACAGATTGGATAGGGTTTGCCCAAGTGGGGTTTCCTCCCGAGTCAGTCAGCTGGCCTGGGGGTGGGAGGGGGAGGGGAGTGGTGATAGAGGCCAGGGGCACTGTCTGGCAGGACCTCATGTAGTAGTGGGCATTCCTGACTGCGGCATGTTAGCAAATGGGACCTGTGACACCTTTCCTCTCCTTGCAGGGGCCCCAGAAAACAGCAGCAAGCCTGAGAGTAGGTCCCTGGAGAATGGGACTGAGCCAGCTCCTGACTGCATGCCAGAGGGTCTCTGGTGCCCTAGATCCAACATCTGTCTGCCCCTGGACAGCCCCTGCTGCGCTCGGGCCTGTGCCAATGGGTCCGGGTCAGGGCTAGGGCTCCCAGGGACCTCCTACACACTGTGGAGGGAGTTCCTCTTCTCTGTGCCTGCGGGACCCCCTGCTCAGTACTCGGTGTGTGTCACTGGCCTGGGTGCCATCTGCCTCCCCCTCAGCCACCCGAGGTCTGGGTCCCCCCTTAAACAGAGAAAGTGCATATTCTTTTGCATAGCCCACTGGGTCCCCCTGCTCAGGCGCCTGCCCACCTCTGGCCTTGTCTGAGCCCTTATCCATCTCCCATTATGAGAAGCTCCTGCCCCAGGACCTTTACACTTTCTGTGCTTTCTAAGGAGGATTCTCTAAACGTCTCTGGTCTTGGCTAGATCCTTCCTGTCACAAGTCTTGGCTGCAGTGTCCCTCAAAGGCCCCTCCCCTGTCTGGGGAAGCCCCATCCCTGCCTGATTCTCTGTCTGCTCTGTGCACGTTCTGTTTGTCTGAGGCTGTCCCATCTGTCCCCACCATGAGTGTCTGGGGGCCTCTGTGAAGCCTGTTGGTGTGTGAGTGACTGAAGAGTGTTGAGACCCTTGTGGAGGGGCAACTCTGAGTTACCCTGGGAGGGTCTTGCCTGCCTGTTGGAGCCCCTGGCTCAGTGCTCCTCTGCGGGACCCAGACCAGAGGTGGCCCACTGTGAGGACCTGACACAGCTCCGCCTTTCTCTCCTGTAGGTCACCTTCCGTGGCCAGGATGGCCCCCTGCTCCCTGGTGACCTCATAGGCTTGCAGCATGATGCCGGCCCGGGTGCCCTCCTGCGCTGCACTCCAGCACTGGGCCACCCTGCCCCCGAGGCCCCGTACCTCTCTACTACTGCCTCGGCCTGGCTGGCCTGCCTGCCCACCCAGCTGGAGGCCAGCCGGGCTGGCCAGGCCTGTGCCCTGCGACTGCTCACTGCCACAGAGCGGCTCACTCCGCTACTGGGCCTGAGGCCCAACCCAGGGCTGGGGCGGCCAGGACGCTATGAGGTCCGGGCCTCGGTGGGCAACAGTGTGTCGAGGTACAACCTGTCCTGCAGCTTCGATGTGCTCTCCCCGGTGGCTGGGCTGCGGGTTATCCACCCTGTCCCCCACGATGGTCTCCTCTACATATCCACCAATGGCTCAGCCTTGGTGCTCCAGGTGGATTCTGGTGACAATGCCACAGCCACAGTGCGCTGGCCCGGGGGCAACATCAGTGCACCCTTTGAGGCTTACTGCCCTGATTCGGTGGCTGCCCTGGTGCCCGGCTGCGCCCACGAGGCCAACAGCACCTTGTTCTCAGTGTTGGCACTGCCCAGGCTCAGTGAGGGCGAGCATGCAGTGGAGGTCGTGGTGGAGAACAGTGCCAGCCGGGCCAACCTCAGCCTATGGGTGAAAGCGGAGGAGCCCATCTGCGGCCTTCGAGCCATGCCCAGCCCCGAGGCCCGGGTGCTGCAGGGCGTCCTGGTGGTGAGTGTGGCTAGCGGGGCTGCCCTACCTCTCTCAAGACAAAGTGCCCTTGCACAGAGTGGCTCCTCCCCACTGAGGAAAGAGTTTGGTTGGTTAATGGGCAGGTCCTGTTAGGTGGTCCTTCATTCCAAAATTACTAAAAAATTACCACTAGAACAGTGGCTCTGAAAATGTTTCTGCTCTTACGTTTGAAGAAACAAATTGTGGAACTCTTTGTCCACCTCTGACCTCATCAAGCCAGGGTGTGTTCACAAGGCCCCAAGCACTTTTTGAGGGGATTCTGACACCACCTGGCCACACCAGTGCCTTTTGGGAAGGGGCTGTCCCTGGCCTGGATTGCCCATCCTGGACAAGGCAGCCATCAGGTCTGCATCTTTGCACAGGGGCCTTTGGAGGGGCTGTTTCTGTCAGCCCTGCCACTGCATAGTTGTGTCCCCCAGCTTGCCCAGTCACACCTGTACTATCAGGTGATGCAGGTAACTATCCACCCATGAGGCCCATTGAGACTCACATGCCTTCCCAGATGGCATTGTGCTATCCAACTAAGAGGACAGCAAAGGGGTCCTGGAAGGGGTGTGCAGACTGAGAGATGACAGGTGGGGAAACAGGTACAGAGAGATCAGGGTGTGACTAAGCCCAAGCTCAGCTCCACACCATGTGGCTCCCTAGTTGAGGGTGGGCCCTAGGGCCTTTCTCCCTGCCTTCTTGCCTTCCCTCTCTTCCACAGTATCTGCAAGTCCTGTCCTGTGAAGCACCACAGGGAGGTGTGTCCAGGCCAGTAGACTGAAAGGCACAGTTGGTCCTCTAAAGACCCTGTGCTGGGGCAGGGTCACTATGCGCTGACGCTGTGTCCTTCCCTCAGAGGTACAGCCCCATGGTGGAGGCCGGCTCAGATGTGGTCTTCCGCTGGACCATTGATGACAAGCAGTCATTGACTTTCCACAATGTTGTCTTCAACGTCATCTACCAGAGCGCTGCCATCTTCAAGCTCTCGGTGGGCAAAGGAAAGGGCACAGGCAGGGGCAGGGGATGGGTGGATGTCCAGTGCTGGCTCCTCTGTTTCAGTTCTGCTTTGGTCCCTGTGACTCCATGGTGGCTAGGGGGGAGTGCAGGGTGGGGCTCTGCCCGCTCTGCCTTGAGGGCCGTTGGTGGCTTGATTACTGCCAACTGTTTCCACAGCTGACAGCCACCAACCATGTGAGCAATGTCACTGTGAACTACAATGTCACCGTGGAGCGGATGCATAGGATGCAGGACCTGCGGGTGTCTGCGGTGCCACCTGTGCTGCCCCCCAATGCCACGCTGGTGCTGGCGGCTGACGTGCTGGTGGACTCGGCCGTGGAGGTGGCCTTTCTGTGAGTGCACTGGGCCCAACAGGTAGCAGGGGCACCAGGTTCTTACCCAGTGCCCTTCCCCAGTTCCCACCTCATCTATCAGTAGGTGCTGGGTACATAGGATGTGGGACGGGGGTGGGAGCTGCAGCAGGGGTGGGTGGTACCCTGAACAAGGTACAAGAAAAGAGTGATTATAGCCGGGCCAGCGGGCACCCTCCCTGTACCCCCATGGGAGTGGCCAGCCCCTCCCACTCATCCCCCCTGCTACTCACTGCCTGCCTGTTGCCCTGGCAGGTGGACCTTTGGGGATGGGGAACAGGTCATCGGCCAGTTTAAGCCTCCATATAACGAGTCCTTCCAGGTTCCAGACCCCATGGTGGCCCAGGTGCTAGTGGCGCACAACACCACACACACCTACGCCATCCCAGGTAAGGACAGGCCTGGCGCCCTCCTGGCCCCGCGCTGGGTAAGCCCTGCCCTAGAGGCAGCCTCACCCCGAGCCAGCTTGGGTCGATGGCCCTGGCCTTCCTAGGGTGAAGGAGGGGTGGCTAGCGGTGAGGGGTGGACCAGGTCACAGAACCCTGTGATTTGAAACTACTGATCACAAACTGGACCCTCGTGTCTCCTCCTGAGCCTTTTTTGGGAGAGAAGGGGCATTATTGTTTAGTTACTTTTAAAATCTTGGGAGCCTCACACACAGAATGAAAAGTAAACAGCATGGCCCCACGGCTCTTGCTCTGCACTAGCACGCGCTCACTCGAGAGAGGTCATACTTAGAGGCGGTTTGCTCCTCATCCTGCTTCTGCTGTAGCCCTGCGCGCGCCCTGTGCTGATGCACTCGATATATGCCTTGCTGCGAGGGCCTTCTTTATTAGGACTGTGGCCCTCCTGCTCTGTCCTCCAGAGAGGCTCCTGCATACAGCAGCCCCCATGGGGTTAGGGAGGGATTGTGCTGAGCGGGCAGTGTAGTGGCCATGGTGCCATTCCCACTCTGGGCCTGTCCCCCAGGTGAGTACAACTTGACCCTGCTCGTGTCCAACGCCTTCGAGAACTTGACGCAGCTGGTGCCTGTGAGTGTGCGTGCCACTCTACCTGCCGTGGCTGTGGCTGTGGGCAGCCCTGTCCTGGTGGCTGGCCAGCCTGTTTCCTTCTCCCCTCACCCATTGCCCTTGACTAGGGGCATCCTTTATACGTGGGACTTTGGGGACGGCTCCCCAGCCATGGCACATTACCAGCCAATGGTCAACCACACATACACCTTGAGGGGCACGTACCACATCTGCCTGGAGGTCAACAACACAGTGAGCAGCACAGTGGCGTGCACTGATGTCCACGTCTTTGAGGAGCTCCGTGGCCTGAATGTGAGCCTGAGCCCAGCTGTGGAGCAGGGTGCGCCTGTCGTGGTCAGTGCCACCCTGGAGTCAGGCAACAACGTCACATGGACATTCGATATGGGGGATGGCACAGTGCTCACAGGACCTGAGGCCACAGTACAGCACGTGTACTTGCGGGCTCAGAACTACACAGTGACCGTGGGCGTGTCTAGCCCCGCCGGCCACCTAGCCCAGAGCCTGCCCGTGCAGGTTTTTGTCCTGGAGGTGTTGCGGATCGACCCTGCAACCTGCATACCTGTGCAACCCCAAGCCCGGCTCGTGGCCTATGTCACTGGAGACCCTGCCCACTATTCCTTCGACTGGACATTTGGGGACGGCTCATCCAACACGACCGTCTGGGGAGACCCAACCGTGTTGCACAACTTCACACAGAGTGGCACGTTTCCCCTGGCACTCATCCTGTCAAGCCGTGTTAACAAGGCGCATTACTTCACCAGTGTCTGCGTGGAGCCTGAAGTGGGCAACGTCACCCTGCTACCCGAGAGGCAGTTTGTACGGCTTGGAGATGAGGTCCGTCTGGTGGCCCACACCTGGCCCCCGTTTCCCTATCGCTACACCTGGGACTTTGGCACCGAGAATGTGCCCAGCATTGGGGCCTCTGAGGCCACATTCACCTACTGGGACACAGGCTCCTACCTAGTAACGGTCACTGTGTCCAATAACATCTCGGCTGCCAACGACTCAGCGCTTGTGGAGGTGCAAGAGCCCGTGGAGCTCACAGGCATCAGGGTCAATGGATCCCGTGTGCTGGAGCTGCAGCAGCCCTACTTGTTCTCCACCGTGGGCCGTGGGCGCCCTGCCACCTACTTATGGGAGCTGGGGGACGGTGGGCGTCTTGAGGGCCCTGCAGTCACCCACATCTACACCACCACAGGCCACTTCACCATCAGGGTGACTGGCTGGAATGAGGTGAGCCGCAGTGAGGCCTGGCTGAATGTCTCAGTACAGCGGCATGTACAGGGGCTTAGTGTGAATGCCAGCCGCACAGTGGTGCCCCTGAATGGCAGTGTGAGCTTCAGCACCTCGCTGGAGGCCGGCAGTGACGTACACTACTCTTGGGTGCTCTGTGACCGCTGCACACCCATTCCCGGGGGCCCCACCATCTCCTACACCTTCCGCTCTGTGGGCACCTTCAACATCATTGTCACGGCCGAGAATGAGGTGGGCGCCGCCCAGGATAACATCTTTATTTACGTCCTGCAGCGCATCGAGGGGCTGCAGGTGGCTGGTGGTGGCGGTGGCTGCTGCTTCCCCACCAACAGCACGCTTCAGCTACAGGCTGCGGTAAGGGATGGTACCAACATCTCCTATGCCTGGACTGCTCAGCCGGACGGTGGCGCGGCCCTGGTCGGCAGTGGCAAAACCTTCTCTCTCACTGTGCTCGAGGCTGGCACCTACCATGTCCAGCTGCGGGCCACAAACATGCTGGGCAGTGCCTCGGCCAACCGCACTGTGGACTTTGTGGAGCCCATAGGGTGGCTGGCCTTGGCTGCCTCCCCAAACCCAGCCCCTGCCAATGTGAGTGTCACCTTTTGTGCTGAGCTGGCTGGTGGCAGTGGTGTTGTTTACACCTGGTCCCTGGGGGAAGGTCTGAGCTGGGAGACCCCAGAGCCATCTGTGACTCATACCTTTCCCACCCCTGGCCTATACCTAGTCACAGTCACAGCCAAGAACCAACTCGGCTTGACCAACACCACCATTGAGTTGGCTGTGCAAGTGCCTGTGAATGGCCTCAGCATCAGGACTGGGGAGGTGGATGGCAGTTTTGTGGTGACCGGATCGACTGTGCCCTTCTGGGGGCAGCTGGCCTCAGGTACCAACGTCAGCTGGTGCTGGGCTGTTCCAGGTGGCAGCAGGCACGGCCAGCACGTTGCCGTGGTCTTCCCTGATGCCGGCACCTTCTCTCTTCAGCTCAATGCCTCCAATGCAGTCAGCTGGGTCACAGCCACCTACAACCTCACAGTGGAAGAACCTATTGGGGGCCTGGTACTGTGGGCCAGCAGCAAGGTGGTGGAGCCTGGGCAGCTGGTCCACTTTCAGATCTTGCTAACTGCTGGTTCAGCTGTCAGCTTCTACTTGCAAGTTGGCGGGGCCAGCTTTGAGGTTCTCCCAGGGCCTCACTTTTCCCGCAGCTTCCCGCGAGTTGGGGATTACATAGTGAGCATTCAGGCTGAGAACCACGTGAGCCGGGCGCAGGCGCAGGTGCGCATCCTGGTACTGGAGGCTGTGGGTGGGCTTCAGGTGCCCAACTGTTGCGAAGCAGGTATCGCCACTGGCACTGAGAGGAACTTCACAGCCCGGGTACAGCGGGGGTCTCGTGTCGCCTATGCGTGGTACTTCTCCTTACAGAAGGTTCAGGGGGACTCGCTGGTCATCCTGTCAGGCCGCGATGTCACCTACACCCCTGTGGCTGCGGGGCTCCTGGAGATCCATGTGCGCGCCTTTAATGAGCTGGGTGGTGTGAACCACACTCTTGTGGTTGAGGTCCAGGATGTCATCCAGCACGTGGTACTGCGCAGTGATCGCTGCTTCACCAACCGCTCAGCCCAGTTCAGGGCTGACACAAGCCCCAGCCCCCGACGTGTGTTCTACCACTGGGACTTTGGGGACGGGGCCCCAGCAGAGGTCACGAAAGATCCCTGGGCTGACCACTCCTACCTGCAGCCTGGGGACTACAGTGTGGAAGTGAATGCCTCCAACCTGGTGAGCTTCTTCGTGGCACAGGCCACAGTCACTGTCCACGTGCTGGCATGCAGGGAGCCCAAGGTGGATGTGGCCCTGCCCCCGCAGGTGCTGATGCGGCGCTCCCAGCGCAACTACCTGGAGGCCCATGTTGATCTGCGTGATTGTGTCACCTACCAGACCGAGTACCGCTGGGAGGTGTACCGTGCCGCCAGCTGCCAGCGGCCTGGGCACTCAACCCCTGTGGCCCTGCCTGGTGTGGATGTGAGTCGGCCCCAGCTGGTGGTGCCTCGCTTGGTGCTGCCTGTGGGCCACTACTGCTTTGTGTTTGTGGTGTCATTTGGGGACACACCTCTGTCTCAGAGCATCCAGGCCAACGTGACAGTAGCCCCCGAGCGCCTAGTACCCATTGTCAAGGGAGGCTCATACCGTGTGTGGTCAGACGTGCAGGACTTAGTGCTGGATGGGAGCAAGTCCTATGACCCCAACCTGGAGGATGGCGACCAGACGCCGCTCAACTTCCACTGGGCCTGCGTGGCCTCAACACAGGTCAGCTGCATGGGGAGCCGGAGGGAAGGGGTGTCCTTCCAGTCCCCTCAGATGTTTGTACTACTGAGTCCAGCAGGGGGAGGGGGCCCATTTACCAGCAGAGTCCTGGCGGGCTTGATCCCAGCATGGGGAGGGGTGTCCCCAGCTGTCCTCCAGGCCAGGCTCTGCTTCAAGGTGGGTCTGAGGTCTCACCACTCCTGTTGTGGGCCGCAGAGCGAGACTGGCAACTGTGTGCTGAACTTCGGGCCCCGTGGAAACAGCATAGTCACAATCCCTCGGGAGCGCCTGCAAGCCGGCGTGGAGTACACCTTCAACCTGACCGTGTGGAAGGCTGGCCGGAAGGAGGAAGCCACCAACCAGACGGTGGGTGCCGCCTGCCCTTGGCCTTAGCCCCGGGAAGTGGCTCCATAGGCCTGCAGCGGGTGGGGTGCTGCCAGGAAGGGCTGAGTGCACAGGGCTGCCTCCTGGAAATAGCATCAAACTCCCTTTTCTAAGGTTTTCTATGATTTAGTACTTCTAGGGGCTATGGGTTCTCCTCTGAGTTACTGCTTTTGACACAGATTCTGCTTAATAAGACATCCTGTTTTAACATTACTTCTTTTAAACAGGGTACGCTGCATTCCAATCCTTAGAGGAGCAGCGCAGCTCTTGTGATTTGTGAGACGGTTTATTTCTGTCCCAACAGCACAAAGGCAAACAGTGAGGAAACACTTCTTTCTGAGAGTGGCAGTCCTAGTTTCCTAACAGGAAGGGCCTGTTCTTCGCTTTCTGTGGGCATATTCTCCGCTCCCCTTCCCTGGACCAGCCAGGCACATCAGGACCGCTGCGCAGTGACCCCCATGTCAGCCACTCCAGCTGCTGCTGGGTAGAGCCTGCTGATGGGAGCAGGTGTCCCGAGCTGTGCTGGTGCCTGCAGTGGGGTGTCTGTCCCCAGTGCCAGCCCTCCCCTGGAAGGCCTGCTGGGGAGGCGGGGGCAGCAAGCCCAGAGGGAGCATCGGGGAGGCAGCAGCTTGGAGCAGGGTCCATCCTGACCAGCTGTCTGAGGTGGACCCCCCTCCAGCCCAGGGCAGCAGGAACCTCAGAGGGGCTGTGTAGAACACGGCTGTCCTCCAAGTACGCGTTGGTATGTGAGCACACCTGAAGTCCCTCCTGTGCGCCAGGCCCAAGCTCGGCACCAGATGCTTCAGAAAAATAAGTCCATCGTGGTCTCTGCATCTTTAGATGATCCCTGCCCCCAGGTTGGGAGACGCAAAGCCAGATGAATGCACTGAGTGAGAGCCAAACTTATTGTCCCTTAGGAACTTGGACTTTGGGCTGTGTCGTTGGCAGGGCTTAGAGGGGAGCTTTCTCACCCGGGGCAGAAGCATAAGGAGAGGGAGAGAGCTGCCTCCTGGGTCTGACCGCCCCACCACTCTGGGCAGGTTTGGGGTCGGCCTCAGAAACAGAGATCCTATCTCAGGGCATGGCCTCCCTATAACCCCACCCCATCCCCAGGTGCTGATCCGGAGTGGCCAAGTGCCCATAGTGTCCTTGGAGTGCGTGTCCTGCAAGGCACAGGGGGTGTACGCAGTGAGCCGCAGCTCCTACGTGTACTTGGAGGGCCGCTGTGATAACTGCCGTGGGGGCTCCAAGCGAGGGGTGAGCTGGGTGGGCCTGGGCGGGGGCAGGGCTGGGTGTGGGGGCAGGGCTTGGGTAGGTGGGACTTGTCCAAGCCCTGGAGGTGACAGCGGCACCAATCCTGCCCCTGAGTGCCCTCCTGTGCCCCACAGCTCTGGGCTGCTCGCACCTTCAGCAACAAGACACTGGTGCTGGATGAGACAACCACATCCACAGGCAGCACTGGCATGCAGCTGGTGGTGCGGCGCGGAGTGCTGCGGGATGGCGAGGGCTACACATTCACGCTCACGGTGCTGGGCGGCTCTGGCGAGGAGGAGGGCTGTGCCTCCATCCACCTTTCCCCCAACCGCCCTCCGCTGGGGGGTTCCTGCCAGCTCTTCCCACTGGATGCCGTACACGCCCTCACCACCAAGGTGCACTTCAAGTGCGCAGGTGAGTGTGGCCAGATGGGGGAGGCAGGAGGCCACGGCGACGCTCATGGAGGGGCTGAGGTGACTGTGTTGTGGCTCGCAGGCTGGCGGGACGCAGAGGATGCGGGCGCCCCGCTGGTGTACGCCCTGCTGCTGCAGCGCTGTCGCCAGGGCCACTGTGAGGAGTTCTGTGTCTACAAGGGCAGCCTCTCCACCTACGGGGCTGTGCTTCCACCTGGCTTCGCACCCCACTTTGAGGTGGGCTTGGCCGTGGTGGTGCAGGACCAGTTGGGTGCTGCTGTGGTTGCCCTCAACAGGTGAGCAGGGCCCCTGGTAGTAGGTCCTGGAGGGTGGGAGCGGGGCTGCGGCCTGTTTACCTGTGGCCTCTCTGTGTAGGTCTCTAGCCATCACCCTGCCAGAGCCCCCAGGTGATGCCCTGGGTGGCCCCCCAGACCTTACCCTATGGCTGCACAGCCTCACGGAGAGTATGCTGCCCGGGCTGCTGAGACAGGCTGACCCACAGCATGTCATTGAGTACTCGCTGGCCCTCATCACTGTGCTCAACGAGGTCAGTTCCCGGGGGGGATCTGCCCTCAGTGGGTGGGCACTGACCCAGAGCAGTACTTCTGTGGGATCCTTGCATTCTTGCAAAGGGCTTGTCTGCTGGCTCCTGACAGACAGAAGTCACTTGAAGTGACTTCTGCTTTTGAACCTAGCCAGGTAGCTCATTTGGTTAGAGCGTCGTCCCAATAGGCCAAGGTTGCGGGTTCGATTCCCTGCTCAGAGCACACATAAGAAGCAACCGATGAACATTTAAATGCGTGAAACAACAAATTGATGTTTCTTTCTTCCTTTCTGTCTAAAATTGATAAATAAAAATAAACAAGTAAATAAACAAATAGCTCTGGCCGGGCGGCTCGGTTGGTTGGAGTGTCATCCCACACACCAAAAAGGTTGCAGTTTTGATCCCCTGTCAGAGCACATATCTAGATTGCATGTCCAGTCCCCGGTCAGGGCGCATATGGAAGGCAATCGATGTTTCTGTCTCTCATTGACGTTTCTCTCTCTCCAACCAATTAACTGTCCTCAGGTGAGAATTAAAAAAAAGAGAGAAATGACTTCTACTCTCAGAAGACCCTTTCATGATCCCTCCCCAGTGCCAGACATTCCCTGCCTTGCCTCTCGCTGCACCCCAGACTTTAACAAGGGTCTGGGAAAGCCTCCTTTTGCCCTTGAAGAAACAGGGTTTGTTTGAGTCACTGCCCACATTATGCAGCACCTGAGAGTCTGCGCTGTGCCCACCTGCTTTGCTGGTGGGGCTGCCTGTTGCTCACTGATGGCTACCTTGTGCTCACCACCCACAGTATGAGCAGGGTGTGGCCATGGTGGAAGAGCTGGACTCCAGGTGGCAGCTGCAAGCCCAGATACGCAAGAACATCACAGAGACCCTGGTTTCCCTGAGGGTCAACACCGTGGATGACATCCAACAGATCACGGCAGTGCTGGCCCAGTGCATGGTAGGGTGGGACCCAGCTTCCTGGGCCTCCCTGGGCCTCCCTGGGCCTCCCTGCCCTGAGAGTCTGGCCAGCCACGTGCCCTTCCTGCATGAGCCACGGGTGCCCCCAGGACAACCCTGCAGGGTGACCCAGGGCTTAAGGAGCAGTCCAGGTGTGGAGAGGGGTGACAAGAAGAGGCCCTCCTGTGCCCTTTATCTCCAGCCTGCGGTCATACCTGACCGGCACCTCTAGGCCTGAGAGGCTGCCTGCCACTTCACCCAGGAACCAGGAAATGCGGGGCACAGTATTGATGAGGTTGGGTGCGCTGGGTCCCGGGCGGCAGGGGATGGCTTCAGAAGCCTCAGCTGAAGAGAAAGGAGCAAAGAGCCTTCTGGATAGGGGTTGCCTTGTCTGCCACGTAGCGTCTATGGCTACGTGTGTGGCTGGGGTTGGCCAGATAGATCCATGTTACTTCGAACTTTGCTTGTAGGTAGGAAGGAGCCCCCAAAGGAGTCCAGTAGAGAGGCACGAGGGGCAAGCTCTGTTTGGGGTGGTTCAGAGGGACAGAGTGGAGGCAGAGAGGCCATGATCATAGAGGCCACCCCAGAGTCACGGTGATTTAATGGAGCCAAGCTGAACCAGGGGGCCGAAGGGGGAGCTCCAGGCTGGAGTGAGGCTGGACACAGTGCCTGGACTCCCCCCACCGCAGGTGTCCAGCAGGGAGCCTGTGTGCCATTCATGCCTGAAGAAGACACTGCACAAGCTGGAGGCCATGATGCGCGTCCTGCAGGACGAGACCACTGCAGGCACTGGGACACCCACCGCCATTGCCGACAGTATCCTCAACATTACAGGTGTGGGCTGGGCCCTGGGGGCACATGGTGCTTCTCGCACCTTCCGTTTCTTTGCCCCCCACCTCTGTGCACTTCTCTCCCCCAACCCCTCCTTTCTTTCCTGCCCCCATTTCTCCCCTACCAACCTCTCCAATCCCCCCACCTCTCCTCTCATGTCTCCCCCCATCCGCAGGTGACCTCATCCACCTGGCCAGCTCACACGTGCGGGACCTGCAGCCCTCAGAGCCGGGGGCTGAGCCGCCTTCACTGTTGGTGGCATCCAGGGCCTATCACCTGTCGTCGGCCCTCATGTTCATCCTCATGCGCTCCCGTGTGCTCAATGAAGAGCCCCTGACCTTGGCCGGCGAGGAGATTGTGGCGCAGGGCAAGCGCTCAGACCCACTGAGCCTGCTGTGCCAGGGCAATGCCTCGGCCCCTGACTGCCACTTCTCCATCCCTGCCGCCTTCAGCGGGGCCCTGTCTAACCTCAGTGACGTAGTGCAGCTCATTTTTCTTGTTGACTCCAACCCCTTTCCCTTTGGCTACATAAGCAACTACACTGTCTCTACCAAGGTGGCGTCCATGGCCTTCCAGACGCAGGCCGGTGCCCAGATCCCCATTGGGCGGCTGGCCTCGGAGCGTGCCATCACCGTGAAGGTGCCCAACAGCTCTGACCATGCTGCTTGGGGCCATCGCATCCCTGCTATGTCCACCACCATCGTCCCGCCCAGGGCCTCAGTCCGCACTGTGGTTACCCCCGACCACAGCAAACCTGAGGCTGGACTGCACCTGCAGCTCGTCTACACGGTGCTCAACGGTGGGTGCCGTGGGCTGGGCACTGTACTGTGGGTGAACCAGGGAGGAGCAGGGGCCGTTTTCCAGCATGGAGATTCCTCCGGCCCCTGCGGCAGGGAGGGCTTGAGGATTCTTACGGCTGCCTCCAGGTGGGCAGTCATCCGACCCTGTACATGCCGCCCCCTAGAGCACTACCTGTCCGAGGAGCCGGAGCCCTATCTGGCGGTCTACCTGCACTCGGCACACTGGCCCAACGAGCACAACTGCTCGGCCAGCAGGAAGATCAGCCTGGAGGCACTGGCAGGCGAGGACCACAAGCCCTACACCTTTTTCATCGCCCCTGGGTGAGGAGCTGGGGGTGGCCTGTGTGCTGGGTTGCCGGGTCTGACAAACCAGGCCAGGGCTCGTTGGCATGGGTGGGGCTGGTCTCTGCGGGCGAGCTGGCCGTGATCACATCTGTAAGTGCCGAGGTCACATGGGCTCCCTGTGGGAGCAGGTGCGCAGTCGAGAGATTGGGGGGTGGCCAGGCCTGGCCACTCATGGTGAGCGTGGCTGTAGCTGAGAGTACTGCCCTGACTTGGGACCGGGGGCTGGGCAGGGTGTGGCTGTGACACTACCCACTGCTTCTCCCAGGACCAGAGACCTGGGCGGAAGTTACTACCTGAACCTGACCAGCCACTTCCACTGGTCTGCTTTGGAAGTGTCTGTGGGCCTGTACACGTCCCTGTGCCAGTACTTCAGTGAGAAGGAGATGATGTGGCGGACAGAGGGGCTTGTGCCCCTGGAGGAGACCTCGCCCAGCCAGGCTGTCTGCCTCACCCGCCACCTCACTGCCTTTGGAGCCAGCCTCTTTGTGCCCACCAGCCAGGTCCACTTCATCTTCCCTGTGAGTGGCACCATGTTCCTGAGCAGTGTGGAGGCCCCAGCTCCATCCTGAGACAGTGAGGCAAGGGCCATGCTTCCTGGGCCTGATGGGTCTGTCTCCCCAGGAGCCGGCCTTGGACATGAACTACATCGTCCTGCTGACGTGTGCCATGTGCCTGGTGACTTATGTGGTAATGGCTGTGATCCTGCGTAAGCTGGACCAGCTGGACATTAGCCGGGTCCGTGTCATCCCTTTCTGCGGGAAGGGGGGCCGCTTCAAGTACGAGATCCTGGTCAAGACTGGCTGGGGCCGAGGTTCAGGTGAGGGGAGGGCCCCCCTTTGCCAGGCTCCCAGGCCACTTTCCTTTGGTCTGTCTGGCCACCTTCCCTAATAGTGATCATCATAATAGATGACGTTAAAAAAAAAAAAAAGAAAGAAACTCACTTTACCAAATGCCATGTGAAATGGTAGCTTGGTAATCCTTGCAGTGACCTGTGGACAGGTTGTCATCCTTCCTGAGAATGAGAACATTTCCTGCATGAACCTGGATGATCTCACTTGACACAGTCATGCCGGATCTCCTAGTGTGTGCAGGCTGTGTGAAAGCGAGCTTAATCATCAATGGGGGAAATGATTATTAGATGGTAACAAATCATTGTGAAAACAAAGATTATTTCTAAGACATCAAAAAACCATTGGTTATAAACATAAAGTTAGTACAATGTAACTGGGATCATTTAGTTAGTGCAGCATACTTAAAACATTAGACACACTGGGGATTAAAGTGCTGTTATTTGTTCATGAAAAACCTTGCAAGAATAGCTTGAACAGTGTTCTCTTGGGTAACTCATGTAATGGGGTGAATAGCTTCTGTGTCTTGGCAAATTGCCATATTCCAACATTTTTTGTTTGTCCTCTCCATATTGTGAAATACCTTGGAGAGTTCTTTTAATATGAAATTTTTTATGGCATCAGTTGCTCTGTGACATCTTTATCCATTTTGTCACAGCCACTGTCCTTATTTATGCTGGTAAGTTTGTACCCAATGGCCTTTTGAGAGTTTCTTTAGCTGCTCCTTCAGTAGTTTGCTTACCTTTTTAAAAAAATATTTATTTACTTTTAGAGAGAGGGAAAAGAAAGGAGAAAAAGAGGGAGGGAAACATTGATGCGCGAGAGAAACATCTTATCGGTTGCCTCTCACATGATCCCAGTCAGGGGACCTGGCCTGCACCCCAGGCGCGTGCCCTGGCTGGGAGTCGAACCAGCGATCTTTCAGTCCCCAGGCCAGGACTCAGTCCCCTGAGCCACACCAGCCAGGACTGTAGTTTGTTTACCTTTGATTCAGATTTCACGTCCAGCATTACCATTTTTCATTTCTTTGATGCGCTTTTATCTTTGCCGGCCAGTACCCTCTTTTGATGACCCATTCTTGTAAAACACCATGTGGGTTTACCTTCGGAAGACAAATCAGTACCAATACACACTTGGTGGTCTTTGGGAACCGAAAGATACACAGTGACCTGTCATCAGCAGGCTTTGGAAGAAGTGACATGATTGGTCACTGATGAGGCTGTGCATCCCTATTTGCAAGTTTATATTTTACACAGTTACAGTTAACATGCCATCGTAACCGACATAGGACTCATATCGTTGGGGGCTGTGTTTATTTAACAAATGTAGGTAGCTGAGGTTTGTGTGTATATGAGCTGAGCAGAGTGAGGACTGCCTGTAGTTGAAGGAAGGAAGACACAGCAAAAAAATTACGGGGGGCCACATGCCTGGTGGGCAGCAAACCCAGAGTCCTGCTCCCTCTCCTTTCATTCCCCAGGTACCACAGCACATGTGGGCATCATGCTGTATGGGGCAGACAGCCGGAGTGGCCACCGGCACCTGGATGGGGATAGGGTCTTCCACCGCAATAGTCTGGACATCTTCCAGATTGCCACCCCTCACAGCCTGGGCAGTGTGTGGAAGATCCGAGTGTGGCACGACAACAAAGGTCTGGGCGGACCCCTGTGGCTACCCCCCTGTCCTCCCCATCGGGAGCCCTGCCGCTGACCCAGCTCCTGCCCCCTCTGTAGGGCTCAGCCCCGCCTGGTTCCTGCAGCACGTCATCGTCAGGGACCTGCAGACCGCTCGCAGCACCTTCTTCTTGGTCAATGACTGGCTGTCGGTGGAGACTGAGGCTAACGGGGGGCTGGTGGAGAAGGAGGTGCTGGCGGCGAGTAAGGCCCTGCCCCCTTTCGCCCCCCGAGGCTGGAGGAGGTGCCAGTGCCTCTGGCCTCCTGAAGCCCCTCCTGTGCCCTTTCGGTAGGTGACGCGGCCCTCCGGCGGTTCCAACGCCTCCTGGTGGCTGAGCTCCAGCGTGGCTTTTTTGACAAGCACATCTGGCTCTCCATATGGGACCGGCCACCTCGAAGCCGCTTCACTCGAGTCCAGCGGGCCACCTGCTGTGTTCTCCTCATCTGCCTCTTCCTTGGTGCCAATGCGGTGTGGTATGGGGTCGTGGGAGACACTGCCTATAGGTGGGTGCCCGTCGGGGTTCATATATACTCCCTATGTCCAATCCCTCGTGTTCCCCCTCCCAGCCTGACCCAGTTAGGTCTCTCCTCTCCTGTTACATAGCTCGGGGCCTGTGTCCAGTCTGATCCCGCTGAGTGTTGACACAGTCGCCGTTGGCCTGGTGTCCAGTGTGGTTGTCTACCCTATCTACCTGGTTATCCTGTTCCTCTTCCGGATGTCCCGGAGCAAGGTGGGCTGGGGACCTCGGTGCTCCTAACGGTAGATCCTCATTGCCTCTATGAAGGGCTGTGGTGCCCATTCTGTCTAGTATGGCAGCTACAGAGGGAAAATCAGCATGGCCTTTAGATAGAGAAAAAAGAGAAGTACAGATTGTTGAAATCCTGAATGAATGAGGGGCTCTGCCAACCAACAGTACAGAAATGAACAGGACTGATCAGGGAGTTCCATGAACTGCTGTAGGCCAGCCCATTGGATACCTGGGAAGAAACAAACAAGTTCCTAAAAAAACAAACTACCAAAACTGACTCAAGGAGAAATAGAAAACCTGAGCAGACCTGTAGCAAGTAAGGAAGTTGAATTAGTAATATAAAACCTCCCATGAACAAAAGCCCAGATGGCCTCACTGGTGACTATACCAAGCAGTTAGAGAAGAGTCACCAATCTTTCCCAGACTCCGAAAACATGCAGGGGGAGGAAGCACTTCCTAACCCATCCCACAAGGCCAGCGCTGCCCCGACGCCACAGCTAGACAAGGACGTCACAAGAAGAGAGAAACTCGGACCACTCTCCCTTAAAAATATGTGGGCAAAAGTCCTCAACGATATAGCAAATCAGATCCAGCAACTCATAAGACAGTACTATACATGTGACCAAGAGGGCCCCCGGGAATCCAGTACAGTGATATTAGCCATATGCAGCTGTTTATATTTATATTTAAATTAATTAAAGTTAAATAAAAATCAATACTTGAGTTCCTCAGTTGCACCAGCCACCTTTGAAGTGCTCCATAGCAGTACGTGGCTGGTGGCTACCGTTGCAGACAGTGTAGATAGAGAATGTGTACATCATTCCAGAACATTCTCTAAGAAAACACCTGCCTAGACTCTGCCTGCTCAGAAGGTTGTATGCCTCCATGGAACAGGGCCCAGAACTGCCTCCTGCTGACTACCTGCCTCTCCCTGCAGGTGGCTGGGCCCCCGAAGCCCACCCCCACAGGGCAGCAGGTCCTGGACATGGAGAGCTACCTGGACTCTTCTGTGCTGGACAGCTCCTTCCTCACCTTGCCTGGACTCCGAGCTGAGGTGAGGACTCTGGAAGGCCCGTGCCTGGGTTGGATGGGTCCCACTGCCTCTGGGCAGCCCAGAGTCTGAGGCTCTGTCTGTACTTCTTAACAGGCCTTTACTGGACAAATGAAAAGTGACTTGTTTCTGGATGATTCCAAAAGGTGGGGGTCCCTAGAGAAAATGCGAGCCTTCGTGTAGGTCAGCTGCGTGTGTGCCATGTAATGGGTATCTGGGCTGCATGTGCTGTGTCACGTGTCCTCGTCCAGTGTCTGTTAGCCATGTGTGTTGTCACACACCGTCTTGGGGGTGCGTTTGCTCAGAAGTCCCACGTATCTGTGTGTGACTGGTAGGCTGATGTGTTCCCTTGGGCTCCCCTTGCTGACCTGTGTCATTTGTAGCCTGGTGTGCTGGCCATCCAGTGAAGGCACACTCAGTTGGCCAGACTTGCTAAGTGACCCATCCATCATGGGCAGCACCCTGCAGCGGCTGGCACAGGGTCGAATGGGCCACATTCTGGGCCCGGAGGAGGACGGTCTCTCCCTGGCCAGCCCCTCCTCGCCTGCCAAATACTTCTCAGCTTCAGGTGAGCAGGGGTAGGGAGGTTCTATACATTCTCCCCAAGAGGCTTAAAGGCCCGGCATGGGAGGAGCACACACCCTCACCGACACATTCTGCTTTCTCTAGATGAAGACCTGATCCGGCAGATCCTGGCCGAAGGGGTCGGCAGCCTGGCTCCAACCCAGGACACTCAAGTAGAAACAGAGCTGCCCACTGGCCTGTGAGTGCCCAGCTCACGGGGCGTGGAGGCATGTGTGGGGGACCCAGGCCAAGAAGCCCGGCTTCCTGCATGGGACTGACCTCATGTTGTCCAGACCTATGTCCCCAGGGTGGAGCTGGAGTGATGTTATTTGTCCTCTGAGCCCCTCACCTGTTGAAGGGACTTCATGGGGTTGGCCATGGCCTGGCAAACGTTTCCTGAGTGAAGGACATCTGAGGGACAGGAAGGGCGGCTGTAATAAGGAATCATTGGCAGGTTTTTAAATATCCCATTTTTTTTCTTTTGAGACTATTTTGATATTATGTTATTTAGAATTTCTCATTAGTAACAAGATTCGTTAGGAGTTACCTTCTTTCCTGATGTATATTTATTTTAATATCCACGTTTCCATTACTTTTAACTCTTCTAATTTTCAAGCAACCAAAAATTACTGAGATGCACAAAGTGTTCCAGAACACAGAGAAAAAGGGAAAGTCTCCAATAATTTTATGAAGAAGATAGCTACCCCTGCTATGATGGCATTGTTATTAAGAAATTGCCAATTGATTAAAAACTATAGCATAGTGAGATCCTGGGGTAGTAATTATAAGCTGACCATCCCAAATACCTCCAGGCCACACCCTTCCTGATCTTGGTTCAGACATTGACCGTCTGCCTCACAGCTTCTCCTCTCCTTATGGATAGTTAGTGCGCAATGCAGACTTAACACCTACACAGGGCACTTGTTTTCCCCACTGAGACATTTCCATGCCCCAGCCAAAAATGTGGTTTTCATTCTTTACCTCTCTGCATCCTTCCTCACACAAGCCGCCTCCTCATCTGCCCTTGCACGTTCCATCCAAACGTCGTCTGCTCCATCTGCAACAGAGAGAGCCTGCTGCCTGAGGCAGGCCCCGTCACGGCGCCCCCGGAGCACTGTAGCTGTAGCTGTATGCCACCAAATTCAGGGCTTGAAACAACTCAGATTGCAGGCACCTTGGTGCAGCCTGTTGGCGGAAGGCCTCAGCTTCTCCCCTTCTCCCTGTCTGGACCTCACCACTGAGCTGCTCAAGTGTCCTCACAGGGTGGCAGCCAGTGTCCCCAGAATGGGCCGTCCAAGAGGGCAAGGCAGGAGCCAGTTTCTTTGATGGTCCAGCCCAGTTAGTCGCACATTATCATTCCACAGTATCCGCTTGGTTTCTCCATGGGAGGAGACTGCAGAGGTATGATGCCAGGAGGGAAGTGTCATTGGGGCATCTTGGAGGCGACCCTCCAGGACTGGGTACGCTCCTTACATGCTCCAGCACGCGTGCCCAGTTTGGCGCCACACGGCCGCAAGTCCTCCCCTGCCACCTTCCCTCTGTCAGCCACTTCCCTTCAGCTACAGCACCCTCGTTTTTCTGCCTCCATCTTTTGTATGTGCTGCTCCCTCTGCCTAGGCTGCTCCTCCCCAAGACAAAAGCCTCCTGGTCTACTTTCTTCAGGTCTTCACTCAAAGCTACTTAATCAGAACCTTCCTTCCTGCCTTATGCAAATGTAGTAAGGCATACACGTGTGCGTGCACATACTGATGTAGGCCTCCGTCTCCTTCCCTGCTTCCTGTACATTAAGCAATGTTCATGCTTATTATGTGCTTCCCCCACTAGTATGCACATGTTAAGTGTATGGTCTCTGTTCTTTTTACTCAGTGCCTAGAACAGTGCTTGGCATTTAGTAAGGGATCAACATACTTGTCAAATGACTGAAGGAACCAGTGAGTGCTATCCAGTAACAGACATAGTCTTTGCTGCCATGCAGCTTAGAGTCTAATGTAAAATTCTATGTATATTCTATGTTGTATCCACGATATGACCTGATACAATAGGTTCATACCCACATATAAAATATAAACATATGTACATATAGAAAAGGGACTAGAAATAACTATTAACACTGATGTTCCTGCATGATGGAAATGCCAGTATTAAAGTATCTGTTCTTTTTCTTTTTTTTAATTCGAACATTTAACGAACTGTGTAGAGCTGAGGTGGGGTAAATTCGCCACACGTTGGGGCGGGCCCATAGTGGTGGATGGACTCCCTGCCCTTTGGGGGTGTGTGTGGCAAGATTCATTACAGAACTGTGAAAAACAGTTTTCTCAGTGTGGCCAGAATGGTGGCCTCTGAGCCTCCTCTTGGTGTCTGTCACTAATTGGCAATTCTCAGAAGCTATCAGCATTCACCATCTTTATGGTTTGTTCTTCTTCTAAGTAGTAGTCTCTGGCTGGACACACAGGTTTTCGTACACGGTCTCCACAGTGTGGCACACTTGTTTGAGCTCTGTTTCCAAATGGCTGATCTTTGCCATTTTCTGGGTGAACTGTTGGAGCTTTCCCTGGATGACCTTGTGGTGGTGACTATAAAACTGATAGAGCCTTTCCTCTAGCTTCTCTGTCAGGTCTGAACCTTGACCTTGAGGCTGTCTCTGAAGTTGGTCACGAGCACACGGTCTTTCTCTCTTGCTCTCGTTAACGTTTTTGATCAGCTCCTGGGCCCTCTTCTTCAGGAATTTTTTTTAAAGATTTTATTTTTAAATAGAAGGGAAGGGAGGGCGAAAGAGAGGGAAGGAAACATTGATGTGGGAAACATCGGTCAGTTGCCTCTCACATGCTCCCACCGGGAAATCGTACAGGTGGCCTTTCGGTTCACAGGCCGATGTCCAGTCCACTGAGCCACACCAGCCGGGGCTCTTCTTCAGGATCTTGATGCTCGAGCCCAGAGTGGAAAAGTAGGGTCCAGACTTCCCTTCCAGCATCGTCAGTTGGCGATTGGCACTGGAGGTGGCAAGAGAGGGGCTAGAAACCTGACTTCTGGCTGGCCCCTGACCAGCTGCCTCTCCTTGCGGCTCTCCTCGCCCTGCTGCTGCTCCTTGCCTTCCGCCAACGGCTGTGGCTGTTGGTCCTTGCATTCGTTGTGGGGCTTGTGCACTCCTGTCGCTCCACCTTGTCTCTTCCGTTCTCTATTTATTATTACCCTACTTTCTACAGCCTCTACTTTCTACAAATATGCGACTTTTATAGTCGGAAAAGTCAATTTCAAGGAAAGTATGTTTTTCATTGCCCTTCTCTCTGTGATCTCCCATCTCCTGAGTGTGTCTTCTCCTAAATGTATCTTCTCAGTAAGTGCCTGTCCAGCTCCTGCTTCCCTTTCTCCCCCGCTTCTTTTTTTTTCCTCCCCATTTCCTCCTACCCTCTCTCCGGGGTACCAGCTCTGGAGCCGGAAAGGGCAGGTGGTAGGTACTGTGAGAGACATGCGGTGTCGGGGTCACGTGGAGTGCTCTGTACTGTTGGAATTTGAAATACATACGCACGTGCCCTTGTCCAAAAGTTAGTTTTAGGTTACAAAGGTGCATCAGCACAGGGCTCCTTTGCGTACTGTGTACAGTGAGGAGTCCAAGGGGGAAGGCCCGAGGCATGGGGAGTGCTCACCGGAAGCTAGTCATAGTTTGCTGCTGTGAAGGGGAGGTAGAGGGATGCCACTACGGTCATGCTGTAAAGGTGATGGCTGCTGGAATAGTGGCAGGACTGGAGAAAGGCGGAACAGGTCACAGAGATACAGGGCAAGGTCGACGGAGTAGGCAGGAAATGAGGGGGAGAGAGACAGGCTGATACGACTTCCTGGCCTTGGGTGGGGGGCGGTGAGGGGCAAAGCCCAGAGAGGCCCAAGGAGCTGCACCACAGAGGAGATGGACAGTGTGTGGGGCTGACGGTTGAGTGCCGGCCGTTCCCATCTTCCTGTGCTTCAGGTCCAGCGCTCCTGGGGAAAGGACTGAGATGCTGATGCTGCAAAGGCTAGGGGAGAGCGGGCTCCCCAGCTCGGGCCTGACCTGGGAGCAGCCCCAGTCAGCAAAGCTCTCCAGGACAGGTGCGCTCGTGTGTCCCCCAAGACGCCCCTCCCTGCCCCCTTCTTCTGGTTCCCCAGTCACCTGTCTGTCTCTGTCTCCTCAGGGCTGGTTGAGGGCCTGCGGAAGCGACTGCTGCCGGCCTGGTGTGCGCCCCTGGCCCACGGGCTCAGTCTGCTACTGGTGGCTGTGGCCGTGGGGGTCTCGGGGTGGGTTGGTGCCAGCTTCCCTCCTGGAGTGAGTGTCATGTGGCTCCTCTCAAGCACCTCCAGCTTCCTGGCCTCGTTCCTTGGCTGGGAGCCTCTCAAGGTGAGTGGGAGGCCGGGGGGCCAGGTTGCCAGCCTCTGGCACTCGTGGGCCCCTCTGATGCCACCCCCTGCCTAGGTCCTGCTGGAAGCCCTATACTTCTCACTGGTGGCCAAGCGGCTGCACCCTGATGAGGATGACACCCTGGTGGAGAGCCCAGCTGTGACACCTGTGAGCGAGCGTGTGCCCCGTGTGCGCCCTCCCCATGGCTTCGCCCTTTTTCTGGCAAAGGAGGAAGCCCGAAAAGTCAAGAGGCTACACAGGATGCTGAGGGTGAGTCAGGCTGCTGAGGCCAGTGCCTCCTACCCTCTTTACCTCTTGGTCAGTACAGCCTCTTCTTAGAGGCCCCGCCTTTCTCAGAAACCTCACTTGCACCCTGTCCTCTCCAAAGAAGGCCCTGGGGCTCTGCAGCCCTGGTGTAGCTCCCTCCCGTCACTCTGACTCCTGCCGCCCCTAGTCCTTGCCTTGCCCCTTCGTGTACACAGCTCCAGTGCCTACTTCTGCCTGGACTGGCAAGGCCCTAGGTATGGTTTCCTCGGCCTTCAGTGAGCTGCATGTCTGCCCCCTGGTGGGGCACTGGCAAGGCATCTGTGCCGCCCATTTCTATGCCAGGCACCCTAGCTGTGGGCAGTGTGCTGTCCAGAAGCCTTGTCCTGTAACGGTGGTGGGGCTAGGACTGGCTGACACCAGGGCCATCCCTGCCTCCTAGAGCCTCCTGGTGTACATGCTTTTCCTGCTGGTGACACTGCTGGCCAACTACGGGGATGCCTCATGCCACAGCCACGCTTACCGCCTGCAAAGTGCCATCAGGCAGGAGCTAGATAGCCAGGCCTTCCTGGCTATCACCCGGTATGAACACCCTATGCATGTACACACCTGTCCGTTGGGCCAGGGCAATGCTGATGCCAACCAGGTGCACCTTGATCCTGCCCTTGATCTAGCTCAGCCCCCAGGGGACATCAGAAGGGTCTTGATAACATTTTTAGTTATCAGGACTGGAGTGGGTGCTGCTGGCAGTGGGTAGAGACCAGAGATACTGCTGAACATCCTGTGGCACCCAGGACAGCATCTCACAGAGTTATCTGTCCTTAAATGTCAGTAGGCCAAGGCTGAGGAACTGGGCCATGCCTTATTCCTGCCGGCGGCACTGGCAGCCTCCTGCGGGCTGGGCTGGGGTTGCAGTCGCTGTACTCCCTGGGCCTCTGACCCCTGGCAGTATGGGGAGCTGAGGGGTGGAGCATATGACTGTGTCTGGTGCGAGCAGGTCTGATGAGTTCTGGCCGTGGATGTCCCACGTGCTGCTCCCCTACGTCCATGGGAACCAGTCCAGCCCAGAGCTGGGGCCCCCACGCTTGCGGCAGGTGCGGCTGAAGGAAGGTAAGCTGGCGGCCACTTTGGTACTTGTCCCTGCTCTTTTCCAAAGAGACTCCTTTGGCTGGGTTCTGGCTCAGCTCCCCAGCTGTTTGACCTTTACCCTCTCCCTGCCTCATTTTCCTTATGGGTCAGTGAGACCAGGACATCTACCTTCAGGATTGCTGGGAGGGTTTCAGGGGAGATCATGTGGAGCTCAGCTCAGACAGCTGGTAAACAGTAAGCTCCTTTGGTTGGGTCATGCTCAATCCCCAGGCCTCTGATTTCAGCACTCTGCCTAGACCCTCCTGGCTCAGGGGTGCACATGTGCTCAGCAGCTTCAGGTGGCTTCAGCACCAGCGATTATGGCATTGGCTGGGGAAGTGCTGCCCACAATGGCTCTGAGATGTGGGCCTATTCTGCGCCAGACCTGCTGGGGTGAGCACGGAAGGGCTTGGGGCATTCTCCAAAGGAGCCTGTTTGCCCCAGCCAGCATGGCTCCCTGGTAGCTGGAAGGCTAGGCTGGGTCTAACACTGCCTCCTAATTGCAGTGTCTGGTACTGGGGTTACTGTGCCGTGTATGACAGCGGGGGCTACGTGCAGGAGCTTGGGCTGAGCCTCGAGGAGAGCAGAGCGCAGCTGGGCTTCCTGCAGCTGCACAACTGGATTGACAACAGGTAGGCAGGCACTGGGGAGGCAGGCTGCATTGCTCTGCCAGTGTTCTCTGGGCCCTTGGTTGTGTCCCTCAACAGTGGCCTCCCATCAACAGTGACCCACTTTACACCCTGCCTGCCCCTCAACCCCCCATCCCCCCACCCCCGCTTTGCCGCTTCAGATCAGTCCTGGAAGTTCCAAGTGAACTCCCCAGTCCATGCAACCCCTGATACCAGAGGCCCTGCCTCCCAGGTTCAGGGAGCAGAGGTTTCTGCCCTTTCACCCCTCCTGCTTCCCATTCTTCATCCTTTCCCTCTGCGTAGGAGCCGCGCAGTGTTCGTGGAGCTCACACGCTACAGCCCGGCCGTGGGGCTGCACGCTGCCGTCACACTGCGCCTCGAGTTCCTGTCTGCGGGACACGCAGTGGCTGCCCTCAGTGTCCGCCCCTTCGCACTGCAGCGCCTGAGCGCTGGCCTTTCATTGCCACTGCTCACTACGGTAGGCTCTGCCTTCCTGGCCCCGCCTCCAGCGTACCCAACCCCGCCCACACCCTTACACCCCGTTTTCCCCAGCCCCTCCCCCAATGCATCCTGATTCGTCCATACTGGTCCTGACCCTGCCCCGGCCCTGCTCCCGCAGGTGAGCCTGCTGCTGTTCGCACTGTATTTCTCAGTGGCTGAGGCACGTGCCTGGCGCCGGGAGGGGTGTGCGCGCACCTCGCGGCCTGGGGCGTGGGCGAAGTGGCTGCTGGTGGCGCTTACTGCTGCTGCGGCACTCCTGCGCCTGGCCCAGCTGGGTGCCGCCGACCGCCAGTGGACGCGCTTCGTGCGCCGACGCCCTCGCCGCTTTACCAGCTTTGAGCAGGTGGCACAACTGAGCGCCGCGGCCCGTGGCCTGGCTGCATCGCTGCTTTTCCTGCTCTTGGTCAAGGTGAGGTCTGGGTCAGCAGGCCCGGGGCTGGGCGGGCTGGGCGGGCTGGGGCAGGCTTGTCAGTTGACGCCTCTGGCCCACAGGCCGCCCAGCAGCTGCGCTTTGTACGCCAGTGGTCAGTTTTTGGCAAGACGCTGTGCCGGGCCCTGCCCGAGCTTCTGGGAGCAGCCTTAGGCCTGATGGCGCTCGCCGTGGCCTATGCTCAGCTGGCTGTTCTGGTACGTGACAGTGGGGCTCTGGGGGGAGGCTTAGCCCAGGGCACACCCCTTACTCATGTCACCTTTCCCTTAGCTGGTATCCTCTTGCGTGGACTCACTTATGAGGGCGGCCCAGGCCCTCTTGGTGCTGTGCCCCGGGGCTGGTTGGCCCGTCCTCTGCCCTGAGTCCTGGCGCCTGTCGCCCCTGCTGTGCACGGGGCTCTGGGCCCTGCGGCTATGGGGTGCCCTGAGGCTGGGGGCAGTCCTTCTCCGGTGGCGGTACCATACTCTGCGCGGGGAGCTCTACCGCCCAGCTTGGGAGCCACAAGACTACGAGATGGTAGAACTGTTACTGCGCAGACTGCGCCTGTGGATGGGCTTCAGCAAGGTCAAGGAGGTGGGTACGGCCCAGTGGGGGGGAGAGGGACGTGCCCTGGGCCCAGGTGAGCCCAGGGCGCAGTCGGAGTGACCGAACCCCTGTGCCGCCCCCAGTTCCGACACAAAGTCCGCTTTGAAGGGATGGAGCCACTACCGTCCCGCTCATCCAGGGGCTCCAAGTCATCTCCAGATGTGCCCCCCGCTACTGGGGACTCCGATGCCTCCCGTCTCTCCACCTCCTCTAGCCAGCTGGATGGGCTGAGTGTGGGCCTGGGCCGGCCAGGGCCACGGGGGGAGCCCGAGCCCTCCCGCCTCCAAGCTGTGTTTGAAGCCCTACTTGCCCAGTTTGACCGACTCAACCAGGCCACAGAGGACGTCTACCAGCTGGAACGAAAGCTGCAGAGCCTTCGAGGCCATAGGACCAGCCAGCCCCCAGCCTCGCCTCCCCCTGGCCCCTCCCCAGGCCTACAGCCAGCCCTGCCAAGCCGCCTTGCTCGGGCCAGTCGAGGCATCGGCCTGGCCTCAGGCCCCAGCAGGGCTTCCCTACGGGCCAAAAACAAGGTCCACCCCAGCAGCACTTAGCCCCAAGGGCCCTGAGCTCATGTCCTCATGCCCTTTCCCTGGCGTGGGTCTGTGGCTACCCTCTGGCCCAAGGGGCCAGGGAGACAACACTCAGTATTACCTTCTGCCACCCTCAAAGTCTTGGGCCAGGCAGAACAGCTGCATGCAAGTCCCTCAGAGAGCTGGCGGCACTTGTCTTAATCTCTCTGTGGGCTTCAGCACTTTAAAGAGGCCGAGTGGCCAGTCAGGACCCAGGGTCCCCTCCCCAGCTCCCTGTGGGAGGACACAGCAGTATTGGACCAAGTGCCCAGCCTCTGAGACACTAATTTATTTTGAGTCCTCAGGTACAGCGGGCTGTGCCCAGCCCCACCTCCTGGGCAGACATTTTCCCTTTGCTAAGGATCCAGGCTGCGGGGAGGGAACCTGCACCCCTTGTTATCCCCCCCCTAAATTATTACCTCTCCTGTCCCCTGCTGAGTGCACTCACTTCCAGCTGCCGTCTGTGTGTCTATTGTCAGTAATTTATACGGGGTTAAAATGTATATATTTTTGTACGTTGCTGTTTTTCACTATGGCCAAGGGGCCTGTTGGCTGCAATGGCCTCGTACCCACTGTTTGCCTTGAGGTGGGGGAGCTGGGACTGCATAGCTGGCCTCCTTCCCTAGACACCTGTCCATGTGGCCAGGGCCAAGGAAGTGATAGCTACTTCTTGGGTCAGAGTCTGGCCTTGGGCAGGTACTGGGACAGGATGTTTGTTTGAGGGCACTACTACTCCCTAGGCAGTTCTTGTCTACACCGTAGCCTTGTTTTCCTGCCCTGCCCAAGGCCAGGCAGCCAGAGGCAGGGCCCAGGCCTGCTGGGTCAGGTCTGAGTAAGGAACAGGACTGGTGTATGGCCAAGGACCCCAGGGCGGTTGGGGGGGAAGACCCCCTCCCTGGGGCTGGCTCCCAGGGCTGGGGAAGGTGAATATGAGAACACTTGTATGATGCTTTCCTGAAGGGGTAAAGCCTGGATAACAGCCTGACAGGCCCCCCATAATGCTTCTGTGGGCATGGCTGAAGCTTCAGCCTTGATCCTGCCCCGACCCCTACCCCCACCCCCACCTGACAAAGCCAAATAAATGAGTTGGCTGACTGCTACTTGTGTCTTGTGTCTCAGCATGGAGGGCCAGTGGGCACAGCAGCAAACCTAGGCTTCATGACTTTATTCATATGCACAAATAAATACTGCCCAGTGCCTTGTATGCAGCAGGGAGGATCTAGCAGTGTGGCTGCTCAGGTAGCAGCCACGAAGAACCCTGGGCGCGTCCTTAGCATCTTAGTGAGCTCCAACAAGGCCAGGTACTGCCCCAGTTGTAGCTTCACACGAACTCTGTGAAGTCATCCACTGAGGAGATGAGGCGCTTCCGCTGACCTGTCTCATAGGTGGGCACGGGCTCAGCTGGGGCCTGTACCGGGGCTTTGCCATGGCCTGGGGGGTGCGTCTGCATCAGGGGCAGGCTGGGGTTTGAGTAGTGGGTTTCCTCACGGATCTGAAAGGAGAGGGGACCTTGGCAGCAAGCCCAGAATGGCAGCACATGTTCTCTCCCAGGTGGATGCTGGCACCCACCCTGGCTAGCCAGTGTTGTCTCTGGGAGAGCCGCTGCACCCAGGCACCCATGGCCCATTCTCCTTACCCGGTGGCGGAGCCGCTTGATGTGGCGGAGCCTGGCGATCCACTTGGAGGGATAGATGTCAGTGGGATTAGAACGGCTGTGGTGTACCTGCGAAGCCATCTGGGGCAGGGTAGACAGAGTGGTGAGCCCTCTACGGGCGGCGCCTATAGCCCATCCCACCTGCCCAGGATGCCACCTCTGCTCACGTTCGCATGCAGGGCCATCTGGCGGGCCACGAAGGGCAGGTTATGGTCAGACACAATCTTGGCCACGCTGGTGTCCACAAGGCCCTCCATGTCTGGGGAGACACTGCACTCACATGGGGCTCAGGGCCCCGAGGGCCTCCCCACCAAGCCCCAGGCCTCACCTTTCCTGCACTGCAGCGACACCAGGTTGCACTCATAGTCCAGGGGGGTGATAATCACATGTACAAAGTTGAACTGGCCCTGCCAGACAAAAGCAGGGTTAGCCCAACACCAAAGGCCACTTTTTGCTACTTCTCAGGCACTGGCTCATCAGTGCTAGACACAAGCATGAGTGTTAATTACCGCCTTTACACACTTCCTGCTATCCAGCCTGCGGGCTGGGGCTGCCATCATATCTCCCCTCAAATGCTTTGCATTCTAAAGCCCAACCTCTCCACACTTGAGTCCTAGCATACAAATTTGTCAAGTTTAAGTTCACAGTCCAGACAGTCACAGAGCCATCCCCCTCCCCCAACATACACACAACACACTGCTCAGGGCACTTGCTACCACGGGCCTCATGGTCAGCTGAAAGCATGTGTAGCTCTGCAGGCTCCCAGCCCCTGGCTCAGATGCCCTCCACAGGCCCACAGGTCCCAAGAGCCTCTCCAGCCTGCGTGTCCAAGTACCTGTTCACCCACCAGCAACAGTACACCTGAGCGCCTCACCTCAAGGAGCAGCTTCACCACCCACGCATCAGGCCCCTCCGTTGTTTCCCAGCTTTGCAGCAAAGGAGAAAGAGTGGGCCTCCCTACAGGCATACCTCTCTACCAGACTTTCTGCCCAGCAGCCTTGGTGGGAGGCAGGGGGGACCATGTTCAGTAACCTCCAAGGCTTCCAGTTGCATCTAGAATAAATCTGAAACCCCTCTGAAGACCAGCACCTGAGACTTGGGCTGCGCTAGGCTCCCCAACCCACTTGGCCTTGCAGCTGTCTTCCACATCCCTGCTCTGTGACAAGCTGCCAGGACTGTGCCCACCTCCTCCCCTCAGGACCTCAACCCCAAGCGTCCTTGCCTAGAAAAGGGTGGGGGAGGCAGGAATATCAGGGCCTATCACCCTGCCCCACCCCCAACTCTGCAATGAAATGAGGAGGTACCAGAGGGAAAGGGCTCACAGCCTAACAGCATTATGAGCACACTAAGCACCTACTAAACGACACGCACCCTGATAAGCACATGCACATTCAGTTACTTCTCAAAACCACAGCAGCAGGTGCCACAGGCTCCATGAAGAAACTGACAGGGCTGCCATCATTCTCATTACAGAGAAGGACCCAGGCTCAGAGGGGGGACCGGCCTACCCCAGCTGGTGGTAGGAGCCACTAAAGCAGGTCAGTGCTCCTGCTTGTCACTGCACCATCCCTAATGGCACTCACTGCCCCCACTCAACATATGCCCGTGGACACTTTCCCAGAGAGATGCGGCCTCCAGCCAGGGTGGCCAGGGGCCCAGATCCATGCCCACCCACCCCGAAGGCAACCTTGCTCACTTTGATGGTACCCAGCTTGAAGTCCTCGCCAGAGTCATTGTAGACAATGGACACAAAGTCGTTGCCCAGGTGGCGCTTCTTGTCACAGCGGTGCTTGTCCACGTCCTTGGTGGGCATCAAGGTGGCAATGTGGAAGACAGCTGTGTGGTGGAATGGGGCCAAGCTGAGTGGGCCCGGCACAGCCCAGGCAGGGTGCTGGCAAGCAGGCAGCAGGCCCTCTGTGCCTCTCACCAGGAGCAGATGCTCTGAGCACCTGCAGGAGCCATGTCTCTGGTGCTTGGCCACCAGCCCTTGGCTCCTCTCCCTGAGAGCAGAGCTTCTGGAAGCACAGATGCCAGCCCAACTGCTGCCTCAGTGCTCAGGCCGGTGACCTCAGCCCCTTGGATACCTCCACTGCTCCCCTGAGGGCAGGCCAGTAGGAATGGGGCTGGAGAGGACCCACGCCCCAGGAAGGCTCGAACCTTGCATGATGTCATCATGCCAGCAGTAGGTGAACTGGCCGTCCTCGCCACACACATCCAGGCCACCCAGGTACACCTTATCTGGCTGGCAGTCTTTGAGTTCGATGAGCTTGCCCAGGCCTGTCAGGAACTCTGTGTATCTGTAGGAGCCATGCTCATTGGACAGGATGGCGAGCTCACTGTTGCTCTGCAGGGAGAGAGGAGATGCATGACGGCACCTCTCCCAAGTGGACCGCCATCCATACCCTGCCCCTCCCTGAGCATAGCTCCCAACAGCTCCGAGGGCTTACTGCTGCTGGGGACCAGGGGGTGGGGCGGGGGTAGTAGCTGCTGTGGCTCGGCAAAGAGCCCCACTTCTGTCGTCAACACGACTCAGTGCAAGGTAACTGTTTCAGCAGTAGCACAGGTGACACACATCCTTGATTTCCCCTCTCTCATAATTCGTCTGCCAGCAAATTTGGTCTATTCACACCTCAAAATACACCCAGAACCCTAGCATTCCCCAGCGCCCCACTGACAGCCTCCTCAGCCCTGCCCCTCTCTCGCTCAGACTGTGACCACCCCACTTCCACTAGCTCTCCACCCAGCAGCCAGAGGGATGCTTCCGAGACTCCGTCTGAGTCGTAGCAAACCCTTGGCTCAAAACCATCCAAGTCACTGGGAACAAAAATACAGCGGCCCGTGAGGATGTCAATGATTGGTCCCCTCCCATTACCTCCCCACCCCACCTCCTGCCCACTCGGTGCCAGCCCTCGATTACACAAGGCGTGCCCCTCTCCAGGGCCTTTGCACGGGCTGTTACTGCACAGGACGCTCCCCGCACACACTCTCACCTCCCTCACATCTCTGCTAAGTGTCACCTCCCTTGGATTAGTGCTGTGAACAGCATCTTGCTCACACCTGCAGTCTCCTGTGACCTGCCACCTTCCCCCTCCAAAGTCCTTAGCACTCCCCGGTGTACCATGCGCTCACACGCTGACCCGTCATTCTCACTCCTGTGTGCTGGCACCAGAATAGTACCTGGCACTAAGCTCAATAACCACTTGGTGCTCTAGCAGCTTATGCAGGGACTGAGCTCTGTGGAGGACAATGGTCCATGCCCCTATTTCCCACCCCAGGCAGGAAGGCTGCCCAGCTCTTCCCTGGCACCTAGGCAGCCCCTGCCATCCCAGAAGCCTCACCTGGCCTTCTCCCACGTACAGGACGGCAATCTTGTGCGTGTCATATGATGGGATCTGGTCGAGGAGCTGCACTGACCGCTCGAAGGACTGTAGCCACAGAGCCCAGCCTGAGTCTGGGGCAGTGGCTGTCCCCTGCCACCAGCCCTGCCCGGCCAGCCTCAGCCAGATGCCTGCCCAAGGGAGGGCTCTCCCCACCCAGGCAGATTACCACAGGCTGCCACAGGGAGCCGAGGCCATAGCCCACTGCAAGCCTGGGCTACTGCTCCCACTACCCAGAGCTGGGCATCCCACTGAGCCCTACCCCCAGGATCCATGAGGCCCCTGAAGGAGAGAAAAGGCATGCCCACCTCATTGGGCAAAAGGATTGGCTTGTTGGACTCATCACCAAAAAAAGGCGAATGGTAGAGCTGTAGGAACACAAAGCTGCAGAGGGAGAGATGACGAGGACTGAGCTTAGAGCTGTAGATCCCAGACTGAGGTCACGGCCAGTGCGGTCACAGCACACACAAAAAGTAGCAGGGCCTGCACCCCCTCACCGAGGGACTGCCCTCTCCTGTGGCTCTGGCCAGCCAAAGGACAGAGGACATGCAGGCCTGTACCCCAGCCCTTTCTGCCCAGGGCCGCTTAGATGTTACAGTCCCACAGGGAACGTCCAGGAGCTCAGGGAAGAGGGTAGGGCTCACCTGGGGTTGATGCCTGGCACCTTGTCAGCATTGGAGGCTCCAGCTCTGCTCTTGAAGGAGTCCCTCTCCACCCTCTTGCCCCTGCGTGACGGGGCCGAGTCAGAGATGGTGTAGCCTCGGGGCCGCAGGCCACTGGGGGAGCGGGGACAGCTGGAAGGCATGGGACCCTCAGGGTGGGCAGAGCCCTGGCTTGCTTCGCCTGTGGCTGACCAGGCAGCGCTTCCCCCATCTAGGATCCCTGACTGTGACCGGGCCTTGGCCTCAGGGCTTAGCCGGCCAACATCAGCCTTGTCCCCAGGGTCCCCGAGGATGTCCTGCAGGGTCTGCAGTTCAGGTGAGGAGCTGGACTTGCTCAGGGGCTGTGAGGGCTGGAAAGAGAGG